GTCGTTGCCTGAGTGTTTTAATGCAAACCCTGATAACAACGAGTTTTCGTAACGATTTTATGTAGATCACCTACCCATGCTGGCGGTCTCTTCGCTATTGAGAGGAAATGGTTCGAAGAACTTGGATATTATGATCCAGGTCTGCAGATTTGGGGTGGTGAACAGTACGAGCTTTCGTTTAAGGTAATAATGTTTCTTGTGCAGGGGGAAGATAAAAGAATTGGTGGAACCTTCTAAATCGTTTACGAGTTTACAACAGTAGATATCGTTATTTTTACTTCAAATTAATCAGCTGGTCATCTTTGTTCTGATCCACTTAATTTGACGTCTGCTTCTATTTTGCCAAGTTCGAGTATCTTTCATCTTTTCTTTTTCGACATGCAGATTTGGCAATGTGGTGGAGGGATTCTGTTTGTTCCTTGCTCTCATGTTGGCCATGTTTACCGTTCACATATGCCCTACAACTTTGGTAAATTAGCTGGGAAGCCAGTTATTTCAACGGTAACTTCATCATCTTTTTTCTTGCATAATACCGTGCGTAATTTGAAAACATTTCTTTTAAGTTTGTAGTATTGAAACATCCTTATATGGGAAGTTTTTTCATGATAAATGACTTATGTTTAGTGTTGCAGAATATGCTTCGGGTTATTAAAACATGGATGGACGAGTATGAGAAGTTTTATTACATAAGAGAGCCTGCTGCAAAACACCGATCTCCTGGAGACATCTCGAGTCAAATAGACTTGAGGAACCGGTTGCAGTGTCGCTCCTTTAAATGGTGTTGCTTACTGTCTAAGTTATTCTTATAGATCCATTAGTATATGACGGCTGCTTTAGGTATATGGAGAACGTGGCTTACGATGTGATAGAATCTTATCCATTTTTACCAGAAAACCATGTTTGGGGAGAGGTCAAAAATCCTCGAACGGGTATTAGTTTGTTCCGCATCAATTCAACGGAATATTTAGACTTGTTGAACTATTGAACATTCAAAAAAAGTCATTTATAACTTAGTTTTTCGGTATTTTTTATTTATCACTGCCTACTGCGATAGCATAATTTTTTTTAGGTAAATGCATTGATGCCGCTTCACATCCTATTCCAGGTCCAGTTATAGCTTCTTTCTGTCATGGGTTTGGAGGAAACCAAGTAAAAAGTTTTTCAGAATTTTTCTCTCATATGCTAATTTAGTTTATTTTCTAGCGTTCACGAGAGAAGTTTTAGATGATTCGGCTGAACAAAATGGGACAACTTGCTCAAGGAGAGTGGTGTATCAACCTCGCAGGGAAAAAACTAAATACAAATCACTGCGTAAAAGGCACGGTTGATGGGCCATTTGATTATGATGAGGCATGTTAATTTTCTCTTGGATCTTCGTTTGAAGACTGTTCGAGCTCTACTTAGCTTGGCAGAGCTTTCATTTTCGGAAGTTTCAATGAAGGGAGAACAAAAATTGTGTAGGAGGAATAAGAAAGGTGTAAAACTGCAGCTTGAAATTTGATGCCTTGAAACTTACTATTTAAAGTGATAGAAAACTTAAGTTTTCTAAGATTATGACAGGCTTATAAATACTTGGTTCTCATTCCTCAATCCCTCTTTCATGTTTATCTTACACCTAACGTTTCCTTCTCATATGTTTTCAGAAAACTAAACAAATAAAATTTAAACCCTATGATAAATGTCTGGCTGTGGGTGAAGCCGAAGACGACAAAGATTTGTATTTAGTGGAGTGTGACTCTAACAATGCTTTACAACAGTGGAGTTGGAAAGAAATATATACTAAGTAAATAGTTCTGAAAGTTAAGTAACTTTTTTCATTTTACATTTCAACTAAACTTAATCACTTTTACATTTTATCTAAATGTACTGACATTTTCTTCTTTACTCGTTTTCTTAAAAGGCCGTTTTTTGAAGGAGAAAACGTTTTCTTTACCTTTTTATGAGTTATCCTTAATTGCTTCCTTTGCTTTATCAGTGTTCTACAGAATTTTATTTTCACAAGAAGGGAATTCATTACTCGAGGAAAGTTAATAGGATGTAGGTTAGGCTTTTTCTAGATGGTAAGGATTGCTGGTTTACTTTAACAGCAGGCTCTCTAGCAAGAGTTTTTTTTGGTAACTTCGCACTGAGTTTGCTTTCTGTACAATCTTTTAATGAGGGTTTTGAGCGGTGCTTCATTTGTTCTTGAGTTTATTCACATAAGTGTTACAAGGCTCAGCAATTGAAAAAGAAGTGATTTTTGATAAGAAAATAACTGCTGATGAAATCTGGACGAATTTTATAGGAAAAGAAGCTTGTCGAAAATGCTGACATTTAATTGTAATTTTATTTTTAACAATAAGGAATTTTGTTGGTCATCAGTGGGAAAGTTATTTTTGCTTCTGGAAAAGTGTCTTATTTTTTAGGCGTTCTAAGACGCCACAGTACGGTACCTGTGATATTGGTATTGCAAATTCCAGTCTACGAACGATTACCATTTATGAAGACCACTGGAACAAATTGAACGCGAGGACTTCAGTAATGTTCTTCAGCTTTTAGGATTTATTAAATTAGAGTGGAAGACTTGTTGGCGGTTGTTTTTTCATCTCAGCGGATTGCTTTAAGTAGATTGTCATTTTTTTTCTGTTGTATGTCTGGAACGGGCAGTAATAAGTTATTATCAATATAATTTGTTTACAGATGGTTCTTCTACATTTTCCTGTGTTCATTTTTACTTTTTTGTTAGTCTATTTATTAATTTTTTTCCAAATTTTTGGGACATTTTAATCGCTCACTTTCTGAAGCCTTATTTTCTTTGCAGCGATATTTACCAGATGGGTACTTTTTAGTTGATTTATGCAAATTAGGTTTTTCTTTATTCATTTATGGTGTATTCTTGAATGGTGTCACTGCGCTGTGATATTTATTGTAAATTATTGCTTTTTATTTCTTGTTATTGTTGTTCTTTTTTACAATACCAAAAATTTTAATTGCTGTTGATTTTGAGCTTCCCGATTCTCAAGAATTTGTCAAATGCTTTTTTCCTACACGATTTTACCTATCTTTTACTACCTGCTTATATTTTGAAGGTGTGTGGTTATTTCTGGTTATTGTTGACCTTTGAAAAAAGTTGAATGTGAAATGATTTAAATATTAAATAAAGAGATTTTTTATAAAATGTTGAATGGTTAGTCTACGTTTCCTTCAACGATGAAAAAAGTATATATTAACTTTACTGTTTACGATAGAGATATGTTTGGTGTGGAATCTGCTTCTAAAGCCTCTATGCTATCAACCTAAAAAGACGATATTTAAATTGTGCTAGAGCTGTTTTGGATGCAAATTAACCAGCAGTAAAAAAAAGGGGGAGGGAGAAGGCGTTGGTGAAAGAACATTGGAAGAGACATCAATTGATAGTTAAGTATTTTTCTTACCGGATGTTATTGCAAGCCTTATCTTGGTTTTTTTTCGCGAGCTGAAAAGCTTGATTTTTTGGCATCAGTATATTCGTGTACTTCCTAAGTCCGCATTTTTTAAGGCCGTGTTACGGGTAGTTGGGCTGAAGTTTTAGCGACTTTAAAGTTACTGCTGTTTGCATGGCGGAAGCGGGTTTTATAGAGACACTACTAATATTTGAATGGAGATGGATTGTTTTAATTGTATTTGTTTTTCTGTTAAGGTAAATTCTTTTCATTTGATTTTAAGACTTTAAAATTTCTCAGGCTTGGGGTTATTAATTTGTTTTTCAGTTTTCTGTTGAACTTTATATTAGTATTTAGTTGAATCTTGAAATGATACCAATCTTTGATTTTCGGCACTACTTCAAAGGCGCGCAGTTCAAGCAACGTGTCTCGGCAAAAAATCTTATAGCTGTGGTTACTGGATGTAATTGCGGTATAGGGAAGCAGATTGTCCGAGAGTTGAATCTACGTGGTGCTAAAGTGTACATGCTATGCAGAAGCAAAGATCGAGGATCAGAAGCATTAGTTGAACTTGTTAAGGTATTTGTGATTTAAAATAACAATTTTCCTTCAGTCTCGTTTCCAATCTTGAGGTGCATCTATATTAAAATATTTAATGTTTGCTCCAAATTACATTTTCGAGGTTTTTTTAGCTGGGATGTAACTCAGAAAGGCTAATACTAAAAGTTGTTGATTTATCCAAATTTGCCACTATTCGAGCTGCAGTATCAGAAATTGAAAAAGGTAGTTTTGTTTTGTTAAATTTACTAGACTTGTTGTGTAGGTGAATTGATAACTTCTCCCTATTACTGCAACGTATATAATTTTTTGACAGTATTATTAGATTCCAAACTTCTTCACTTCATCTTATTCTGCTCGATTTTGCCAGCTTCAGTTTCCCGTCATTTTAGAGGTCAATCATATTGATATTCTTGTCAACAATGCTGGAGTAATGATGTATCCTAAGTTCAGGCTGACAGACGATGGACATGAGTATGTTTGGCAAACAAACTACCTAGGTTAGACCGAGTATGACTATGTTTCTTTGAGTACTAACTATGCCCTTGTGGTTTCATTAGTTCAAGCTCAAATGGAGATATGAGCGTTTTAGGCCATTTTTTGCTCACTGAACTACTTTTTAACCTTCTGAAATCTTCTCCATCAGCTCGTATCGTTAATGTTTCTGCTATGGCGCATTATTACTCCGATCCTCTTGACCTTGAAAAAATTGATGGCCGTGAGGATTGGGATCCTCGACAATCGTATGCGAAGTCTAAGTTAGCTATGGTTGGTCATTTCTGATAGTCAGCTTTCGAATTTAGTGTCAAACTACTGTGCAGTTATTTAATCTTCTTTACAGAACTTGACAGTATTTTCATAAATGTGATGTGGACAATTTTCAGATAATGCATGCTTCGGAGTTGACAAAACATTTTAGAGTCACCGAAGCATCAAATATAACCATCAACTCTTGCCATCCGGGATTGTGCAATACCCACTTAATGCGCCATACTCCTCTGGTTAAAAAACCATTAAATTTTATCACGGCTCCTTTCAGGTATTTGTTTCTACTTTCATTTTTTAAAATTTTTTTGAAGGAGTATTTTAAGGTGGTTTCTCTTGAAAACTCCGAAGGATGGTGCACAAACTCCTTTGTATCTTGCCTTATCGAAAGGTGTTTCTGGAGTTTCGGGCATGTTTTTCAGGTTGTGAATGATTATATTATTTTTTTTCATTTTTTTCTGATGTTTTGAAGGTGAATAATCCACTTGTACGGTATCAAGCGATAGAATTTAAATAATTTACATAGGAATGTAATAAAACATGTGGGTATTTATTAAGACATTTATCAAGTTTCTTCTGTCATATGGAAAGATTTGTTTGAAAAAAATCATTTTTTAGTTTTTTGCTGCTTAATAGCTCATGTTTTATTCTTGCTCACTTCCTATCTTGTCTCTGATGTTTTTGTTCAACATGAAAATGTGTGGTTTCATTCAATATATTTAAAAAAAGTTATTAACACATTCGGTATGCTTCAATAGTTGTATTCCAACAAGTGAAGAATGTGCGGGTGAGGGGATTGGGACGAGTGAATTGTTTAGAACTGCAAGGAAGTTTAATCGTTCTTGAACTCATTTTGTAAAAATTGAGCTATTGAACAACTGTTTGTTGAGATGGCTGTTTATCTTCTTTATATTTCTGTTTGGTAATGATGATTCTTCACATGCTTGATTCAAACTGACATAGTTTCAGTGAATGTACACAAAAAGAACCGTCGCCATCATCGTTAGAAACCTTGGGGTGTACTAACCTGCGTTCGTATTCGCTTAGGGCCTGTAATTTGCCGTAGTATATCTGTATTTTTATACGATGAAACTGCCGATTTGCAATTGAATAAAGGTGGGTAGCACAAACAGAAAAACACTATCCATTGAATGATATATTCGTTATGCTACAAGCAGTGGAACATCTTTTTTTTTTAAATAGATTGTAATTTTTTTCGTGATCTGTCTGTTACATCTCAACAGTCTATTTATACGTTTGCTTTCAGCTATGTGTGGGTATTGTCAGTTTATAACGAATCTATTTTGTATTAGTTTTTGAGGCTGTTTTTGAATATTGAGGACTCACTCTTTGCTATGTTATATAATTGTTAAGTTGATCAATTTTTTTGTTTGTCACTAATTTATCCGTGATTCGCCGTCAATTGTTGCTTTTAAAATATTTTTTTCATGGAGCTCTCATATGTAACCGAATGAAAAAGTTAGATTCATTGGCACTTATAAAGCACTAGTAACGTTCTTCGGAAAACTGACTTTTACCTAAATATATAGGCGTTTACATATGAGGATGAAATGATTCTATTTATAAACTTATCCATTCGTTCAACACTTAAAATATTTGACGTTTTCTTTTTTTTTTTTTTTTTTTTTT